AAGAAACAAAAACGGTAGTAGATCGACGATCGGTGGGATCACCTGCCCAATCTGCATCAGAGTAGCCCGCAAGAACCAAGGATGAATGAGCCAAAAAGTGAAGACCATAAAGAAGTGTGCCTTTAACATAGCGAAGAATATGGAGCACTGCTGAGTAATGTGCAGTCCGCGGAGCAGCCATAAACTGACTGACAATATGCACGGCATGGGCTATGTCAGGACGAGATACGATGAAATAGATCAAAGAGCCGACCAACTGACCATAAAGAGTTGGATGGTCAAGAAGAGAACCATCTTGGGAGGTGAGGTGACTGTTCGTCTCACGAGGGGTGGAAGTGATCTTGCTATCAGTCAGGCCAACATAAGAGTTAAGATCAGACGCATACTTGTCCTGAGATAAGAAGAAGCCATCAGAAGTGTTAGAGATCTCAAGGCCCAAGAAATAGCTAAGGTGACCAAGACATTTCATCTCGAAGTGCTGACAGAGGTAGACTTGCAAATCAGAAATACCCGAGATATCATCGCTAGTGACAATCATGTCGTCAACATACAATAACAGAATAATAATCGAAAAAGAGCTCCGGTAAATAAAAAGAGTTGATTCATGAGCACTAGAAGAGAAACCATACTGAGTAAGAGCATAACTGAATTTGGAAAACCAAGCGCGAAGTGTGTGTTTCAAACCATAGAGAGCCCCACGGAATTTACATACCTTTCCAGAAGTCTTAATACTTGGAGGGGGACTCATGTAGACATCCTCAGTCAAATCACCATGCAAGAAGGCATTTTGGACATCCAACTGAAGAAGAGATCACTGACGAACAACAACAATCGTAAGTAAGCACCGAATAGTAGTAAGACGAGCGACCGAAATGAAGGTTTCCTCATAGTCAATACCATACTTATGATAGTACCCCTTTGCTACAACACGACCTTTGTAGCGCTCAATCGAACCGTCGGAGTGGGTTTTACTTTTTTAGACCCACTTGCACCCAATAGGACGTTTGCCCTCCGGTAGAGGTACAAGATCCCAAGTGTTTATTTTCTTAAGAGCCTGTAGTTCATCTGACATAGCTTGCCGCCAGAAAGGGTCAATATTCGCCTCCCGAAAAGACCTAGGTTCATGGTGAGACAATATGATAGAATAATAGTGATAATTAAGGAGATGAGTCGAGTAGAACGGCGGATAGTGGTAGTAGGGACAGCGGGAGAAGGCTCGTGCACCGGTTCAAGGGTCACAGACGGGTCTACTGAAAGAGATGAGGGCGGCATGATTGGATCAGAAGCAGTAGATGTGAACCCAGTACTTGCAGAACTAGGAAAAAAGGGAGAGAGATCATGGGTGAGTAACAAAGAGTTAAAGTGAGATGAGACATTGAATTTGGACACCGATGAGAAGCGCACGAACCGTATCAAGAATATGACGATGTTTATGTTCCTCTCGACCATTTTCTTGTGACGTGTATGGATGAGACCATTGGATACAAGTACCCTGAGTAGAAAGAAAACTGAGAAACACAGAGTCATTGTATTATAAAGCATTATCAGTCCGTAATGTGAGGATAGTACAGGAGAACTGAGTATGTATCATTTTGGCAAAAGATATATAAATAGATGTAATTTCAGATCTCTATTTTAAAAAGTAAATCCAGGTGAACCGAGAAAAATCATCAACAAAAATCACAAAATATTTGTACCCATTCATAGATGCTACCAGTGAAGGCCCCCAAATATCCGAGTGAATCAAAGAAAAAGGTTATCAACAATAGAAAGATTTTGAGAAAAGGGAAGAGCGGACTGTTTGACAAGCTTACAGTGCATACAATCAAAAGATTCAAGACGTACAAGACCTAAGACACCAGTACTGACAAGAGAACGTAACTTTTGTGTAAACACATGACTTAACCGAATATGTCATTGATAACTAGAAGAAGATGATGAAACTGCGGCGGAAAGAGACGGAGAAGATGAAGTCTGAAGGTGACTGAGCTCAAATAATTGACCCGTCTTGCACCCCGTCCCAAGAAGCTGACCCGTCTGCGAATCCTGAACTTGCACACTAGAAGACGAAAAGATAACGGTAAGACCCTGTCAACTAATTAACCAATAGAAATAAGATTTAAAACTAACTGAGGAATACAATACATATCAGTAAATGATAAGAACGGAGATGAAATATGACTTGTGTGAGTTATGTGCATATGTGAACCGTTGGCGGTATGTATGGGAGGTAAGCTCTTAGTAGGAGTAGAGGAACACATAAAGTTGGTATTATAAGTCATATGGTTACAACATACAGAGTCACAATACCAGCGGGTGTTACATGAGGGTGTATGAAGATCAGATTTAGCAGAAAAAACCTGGGTGAGAAGCTTGTGGATGTCATGAAGAGTGGGAAACGAAGCCACAACATATTGCAGGACATTTGTAACAGCAACTACATCAGAGGAGCTACCAATCTAAGAAGAAGAACAAGTACATCGGGGACAATTTTGGATGACATGTCCTCGAAGATGGCAATAGTGACACTTGAATCGGGGCACTGGGTAAAGGGATGATCAGCATTCTTGCATCGACGACATTTATCGGACTGAGTCTGACGATGAACGAAACCCCGCCGAATAGAAGACTGAGATGAGACGGCCAAAGCAAAGTCCATTATAGGAGATTGAGTAAGTTTGAGGCGAGTCTCCTCAAACATAATATCCTTCATGGAAGCATCCAATGAAGGAAGAGGATGACGATGAAGTAATGAGGCACGAACAGGCTCATATTCCGGGCGGAGCTTCAAGCTGAATGAGCCGAAGGTGATTAGGCTCAATGGTCTCCTGATCGATGCGATCCCAAAGAGGTTGGGTGGCCGAGAAGAAGTCATTAAGACTGCCCCGGTTCATGTCATTTCGTACAAAGAACTAAGAAGTTTATAGTAATGAGCAAGACTGGTAGCCTGAAATCGCGACTTCAAATAATCTCACGCTTGTTAAGCAGTGTCAATACGGCGGAGCTGAATCTAAATAACCTGAGTAAAAGTATTCTGAAACCAAGTAAGAATCTGATGATTTTTGCTATCCCAATCTTCCAACTGCTCCTGATAGGTAGAAGTATCCCGCGAAGATAGAGGATTATCGGGAGTAACTACAGGTTTGATAGGTGCTGTAAAATCTCCTGTAACAAGCCGCCACAATTTTCTGCCAATAAAAAAACTCTTCATAGAATCGGTCTAAAAGTCATAATTATCACCCGTCAAAACTATGGCAATAGGCAAAGAAACATCCATCCACTCCATAGAGAAACACTCCGGGACCAAATAAATAAAATAGATTTATTTTGCCCTAAATCAAATCTCGAGATTATGCCGAAACTGAAATTTGATCACATGAAGATGACGGAAAGAAGAGCAGGATGTCGGACCCCGGAGGTGGCGGCCAGAGGTGGCCGAACGGAGGTGGACAGAGCAATAGGTGGCAAGGAGATTTCCGGCAGCAGAAGGCGGAATGCGCCGGCGACAGCCACAAGATTCAGGCCACCGGCCGAAATCGACGACGCGGAGACGACAGCGGTGGCGATTGGCGACGGCTGGACGGCGGCGAATCGAGCTCCAGCGCCTTGCGACCGGAATGGCTGCGACGGCCGGGAACTGCTGCATGCGCCGGCGACGGCTTCAAAACTCCGGGCACCGCCCAGTCTTGTCCCTGCGACAGCGGCGTCAACTGGCGGCGGCGGAAGGGCAGGGCGACATGCGTGGTTGCTCTGATACCATGTTGGTAGTTTTAGGGGAATGGAATTGTGTATTATTATTTAAAAACAAACACAATAAATCCTAGGCACTACTTATACTTACAAGGTACTTTTGTCATTTTATATATACACAATAATAATAATATATAGTAGTATAATATATATATATATTACTCTCTTCCTTTCATATTAGATGTCTGAGTCACTCTAAACACGAATTTTGAAGAATAAGTATAATTAGTAGATAATTAAAAATATATTAGTAAAAATAATTATTTTATAATATAAATAATTATAAATTAAAATTAAAATAACTCATTAGTTTAACTAAAATTAAAAAGAAATTTAAATTAAAAAATTTAAAATAAAACTAAAATAAAGAAAATGACATGGAATATGGGACGAAGAGAAACGAGAATGCCAACGTGGAAAGGAAGGAGTATGTACTAACACCCCTCTTCTCTACCACTACAATTGTCAGCAAGAGAGAGAGTAGTTTAAGGACACCCGCAACTTCCATCCAAAAGATCTCACTTTGTCTTCCACATCAATACCCGTAAACAAATTTTTTTTTAAAAAAAATTAAAAAATCTATTGGGTATCTCTGAGATGCTCAAACCGGATCAGGCGGTTAAGTCAGGATTTACTTGCCACTAAGATTAGTACTTGCCGATGAAAACTGCCGATTAAAAACGACAAAGAAAGTCCAAGAGAGTTCATTCCGAAGAATGGAAGGAAGACGGATCCCTTTCTTTAAACAGCTGTCCAGACTGAATCTATTCTTTGTTCTATATATGATACTGCTCTGCCCTGCCTTGCTTGATTCACAGAACTCTGAATAGGCATCAGAGGATAGATCGACGCGGTAGCTGACGAATCTTCCACTGGTAGATGGACAAGCGTGTGGACCGATGGACTTAGCAGCCTTGATCGTTACAAAGGGCGATGCTACAACATTGAGCCCGTTCCTGGCGAAAGAGATCAATATATCTATTATGTAGCTTACCTTTTTAAAGAAGGTTCTGTTACCAACATGTTTACTTTTTTTTATATATAATTATTATAATATATATTTTATATTTATATTATATAAAATTTTATTCTCTATCCAATGTTATATTGAAATATAATTTAAAAAAATTTAATTTTAAAAATAAATAATTTTGATATAAATATAAATAATTTTTTTGGTTGAACTGGAAAAAAAAAAAAAAGTGAATAAAATAAAATAAAATAATATTGAAGAGATACTTTGATGGATATCTTTGTTGCAAGTTGCTAAGTATAAGTATATTATAGTATAGTATAGTATAATCAAAATGCTCTCAGTATCCCCATGCTCATTCTCCTAAGAATTCATCTATCTTCAATTCTTAGTTAGGTAGTAAGCAAAAGGGTCCTGTGATCCTATCCATCCCTTCTCCTTTCTCGTCACAAGTGACAACACAACTTCAGCTACCGCTACCATGCATATATATATATATATATATAATGAATGAATATCATCAATCAATCAATCAATCACTAGTTTGTTGGAGGATATCCAGAATCGAAGAAACTGCTGCCTGGCTGAGCTGCTGCTGCTTCCAGAAGCACCGCTTTGATCTCTTCTGCCAACATCGCTTCATCATCCTCCCCCACTCCTTCCCTTTCCCTTTCCCTTTCCCTTTCCATGCACTGCATTCATTGTTGCCCACCGTCCATATCCATAAAATGCATCACCATCATCAACAGTATAATCATAATAAGACCAATAATATAATCAAACTTGAACAATTTTTATTTATTTATTCATTCATTCATTCTATTTAGTTTGTTTTTTTATTCTGAGATCACCCAATCAATTAATTAATCTGCCATAAATACATGCCGGTAATAGACAACCCAGCCTACAAATTGGTGCATATAGATACATACATGCATATATATATGCGGTATGCCATACCACCTAGCTGAGCACGCCCATGCATGCATACATTTTAATTTACTGCTATACTCTTCCAGTGGCTTCTTCTTCTTCACCCTCATCATCTAATTTTAATATTAACTTCCAGTTTACACACTAAGTTCGCTATTGTCATGTAGCTTAAGCGTATCACATTAGTCATTGAAACCAGGCACCCAACTAGCTACCTACTAGTACTACATATATATTATTGAGAGATATAACATATATATTTAGGAGAGGAGAGGACGAAAACATTGAAGTAAGTTCACTTGGGGTGGGATGCATGGTTTAAAAAGTAGTAAGTATTACCACATCCAGAGCAAAGCCATTGAAACAACTGATGACTGCTTGCTGAATGTCCAGTCCAAGGCTGTCCAGGGCCCTCATGGTGGAGACCGGCAGACCCTCCGCAGCTCTGCACCCACAAAACATATGTATATTCACCACCCTCCCTTCTCTCAGTCTTACCTCCACCTACATATATCACCAACACACACAAATTAATAATAAAATCTTTTTGCCAACATTAATTCACACCACAAGGCATACATCATGCATATTGCTTCAATTCAATTCAAAATCACAGAGGAGGCGCCTAATTAAATTGGTCGCACCTCAACTAATTAATATCAATTCATACAACAAGAAGAATCCAACATACTTACTATATCGTATTATTATCAGTATAAACTAACACCAACTTGTAGGTTTATGTTCAACAACAATCCTAATTAGCTAATTAATTAATTAGATGATGCCTTGGAAGTTGTCTTTTCTTTATATCCATGTTTGGGACTTGCACTTTGTTAAATCTAGCTCCTTAGCTTCCACACAAGTCCTCTGTTGGAATTTCAGACAGCTAGCTATTTACATTTAGTGTAAGAGAATGTTTGCTCATTTCATGGTCTCATCATCTACACCAGTCCACAACTACTCAACAGTTGATGAGCAACAGATTAATCATTCAACACATGCATCCACAACACATAAGACAAGATGATGAAATGATGATATATACCCTTGCAGACTTGTTATTGGGGCTTGATGTTGTTGAGCTGGAAGGGAGCTCTTCCTTTGCGAGATAAGAGAGAGCAGGGGAGTGATGGAGGCTGCAGCTTGTTTGAGAAGGAGGAGGAGGGGGAGTTTCAAGTTCAATTTCATTTTCATGGAGATCATTGATGCGTTGCAACAACTCTTTTAGATAATCTATGGCATCCCCAAGTATTGAAGCTCTGTCCATCTGGAGAATTACAAGAGTAGATGATTAATTATGCATGAGTCACAACTCCAAATCAGCCACCAAACAACAACCATTACTACTATTGCCTAGAAATGAATTTGATTAACACACACACACACACACATATATATATATATTTAATATTCTTGAAGTGAGTATAGTGTCTCTGGGATAACATAAATCAATCCCTCTGCAGCTTCAGATTCACTGATTCAATATTAATAAATGAACAGCACTGAGCCGATGGAGGGAGTTACTCAAATTAAGCAAAACAAGTACCCCCACCGCTTAAATTAATGAAAACACAGAAAAATGCAATTAGAAGGAAGGTAGAATCAAATCAGCATCAGGGCCATAAACACAGACAGACAGCAAATGGCACCTTGCTGATTTTGGGCACGACAGATCTTAGCAGGTAAAGGCTGTCGTTGAGCTTCTTTCTCCTTCGCCTCTCTGCCATTAGATTTTTGGCAGGCATCCCCTTTCTCTTCCCTTTGCTGGTGCTGATATTTGGGTTCGAGTTTATGTCTCCACCATCTTCGTCAGCGAGACCCTCTCCCTCCCCTAATTTATCGTCGTCTGAATCGTAATTTAGAGTATCCCCCCCGACTTCGTCGTCATCTTCATATATATTCCTCTCTCTCTCTCTCCCCCTCTCCCTCTTGCTTCTGAATCCTCCCATTCCCATTCCCAACGGCAACGTATCATCCAAACTCGTTAAGCAGGCGTCGCCAAGAGTGCCCAAACTCTGCTGCGAGGCTGCACCCTTCTGAAACAGGGTGGGCGGGGGAGGTGCGCCGACCGGCGGCAGTCCTTGAAGTGGTTTCCTGTTAGTGTTACTGCGAGGAAACAGGGAGCACGGACCCAAGGCATGAGAACTGCAGGTAGTTGGAATTCCACCAACAGTGGCAGCGGGAGCGGCAGGGGCAGGGTAACCATCTTCAGAGAAGGGAAGCAGCATCCGAGTGGGGAGCTCGGAGTTGAGTTGGAACTGAGAAATAAGGGCATCAAAACTCATTAGAATGTTGGGAGGACTGGATTGTTGGAGAGGAGGAGGGGGAGGGACGAAAGCGGGGTCGCCGGCCAGATCGAAGAAGTCATTGTCGAAATTGTTGTTGATTTGGCGAAGTAGCATGGAACTGGGGGAGGGGGAGGGGGAGAGGAAAGAAGACGGCAGGTGAAGGTTGGAGAAGGCCTGGAAGGAGGAGTCGTCAAAGTGATTAACCAGGATGTTGCTGCTGCTGCTGAATTCAGGGTAATAAAAGGGCGGCGGATAGGTGGCAACATTGTTCCTAGTATTGTCATTGTTGTTACCACCATGATAATGATAATGATAATGATTGGTGGGGTTGGGGTTGGGGTCAAGCATGGAGATGGAGGTGAAGGAATAGGTGCTGCTGGGGAGAGAAGGGGGCACTTGATGATCTGACCATGGAACTGGAACTAGAACCGGAACTGGAACTGGGATGGCCGGGGAGGAGGTGGAGGAGGAGGATAAGGATTCATCAGCTAATTCAGTGCTGTTGTCGTCGTCCAGTGCAGTGGGAGTGAACGGGGGGAGCATTCTCTTCTCCTCTTCTCTTTCTCTTTCTCTTTCTCTTTCTTTATAAATAATAATAATAATAATAATAAAGCAAAATTATCCGTAACTCCCATGTGGTTTCGAAATTCTGAGTAAATTTTTCATCTATTTTAAAAATTCTATGACGCCCCTTATATTCTAAAAAATATTGCATGAAACCACTTTGTGATTTCGAAACTCGGCATAAATCCTATTTTATTTTAAAAAATTGTATGACGCTCACTTGTACTTTAAAAAATATTGCATAAAACCCTTTCATGCAAAACATATAGATAGGAAATCATCTTCTTATCACACGAGGAAAGTTTCATGGTGGTGGGTTTCATGCAACGTGTTTTAAAGTATAAGAGGGTATCATATAATTTTTAAAATACAAGAGATTTTACTACGCTGAATTTTGAAATCATTGTGCAATTATAAGCAATTTTACCTATTATGGAAAGGAAAGGGAGAAGGAAAAGGGCAAGGGCTGGTGGGCAGAGACAAAAAGAACGAACGCACGGATGTTAAAATTAAAACCCTAAACCCTAAACCACTTCGATGCCAAATTTTTTGGTTTGGGTATTTTGGGTTTGTCAAAGATCGGTCTATCAGAACTCGAATTAAAAAAAATTCATGTCGGATCAAGTTTTGAATTGACTTGATAATTAGAAATGTGAAAATCAGATCGGATTTCGAATTGATCTGAATTATTTATTATTATTAATAATTTAATTATAATATATATTATTTTAAATATAAAATAAATAAAAGAGAAAAAATTAATTTTGGTTTCAATATAATCAAAATTTATCAATTTTGGTCCAAATATATATATAAAAAAAACTTATCAATTTTAGTCTAATTATAAACATTTTCAATCAATTTTGGTCTCATTATAAACAATTTCAATCAATTTTGATCTCTTTTGGTTGAAATTATTTATAACTTGACCAAAATTGATTGAAATTGTTTATAATTGGACTAAAATTGTAACCAAAATTAATATATTGAGACTAAAATTGATTTTTTCCCTAAATAAAAATGAATTCTTTTAGGTTAATTTTAAATGTTTTTTAGTTTTCGGATCTATTTCGTGTCGGATTTGTTCGAGTTTCGGGTGACTTGAAATTAAATCAGGTCAACCTGAACCAGACCTGAAAGAATTCGTGTTGTGTTTGGACCTAAGATCTCACATCACATTTCGAATTCGGGTCAAGTTCGGGTAGAGAGTTTATTTGCTATCTCATTGCTGAATCCGATACGAACACGACCCAAAAATACAAATTGACACCTCTAAACGATTGTGGCGGGGCCTGGTAAAAGACGGGTAGTGCCGCCAGGCCTGTGGAAGGGTGGGAAAGGAAATTGCTGTCAAGTAAAATTTCTTGTTGCTAATTGAAACTGTTACCTCCTTACGCGCGCTCATTTGATAATTAAAATTATGGTAAAATAGCAAAAAATTCCCATGTGGTTTTTAGAATTTGCTGAAAACTCCGCATGATCTTAAAATTTCATAAAATCTACTCATGATTTTCAAAATATTACACACTCGCTCCTCATTTCAAAATTGAACTAACGGTGTTAAATTTTTAATTGTTTGATCAAGTTTTATTTTATTTTTTATCATATATACATACACACACATTTACATAGATATACATACATACACAAACACACATATACACTGCTGCTCATCTACTTTCTTTTTCTTTCTTCTCCATATTTTTTCCACCTCCGTATCTTCTTTTTTTACACATAAAAACACATATATACATACATATTCTTCTTTTTTTACATCTTTTTTCTTTTTTTTTCTTCTCCGTTCTTTTTTTTTTCCACCTATGTTTCTTCCTTTTTTACACATAAACATACATAGATACATACGTATTCTTCCTTTTTCATCTCTTTTCTTCTTTCATTCCGTTGCCCGCCTCATTTTTTTCTTCTTTCTTTTTCTCCATTCTTTTTCACCTCTATTTTTTAAAGTTTCATTTTAATTTAGGAAATTGATTATAGATTTTGTTTGTTAAATTCATAGATCGAATGGCTAAATTGTAGAATCTAATTATTTTTGTACTCATTTGAATTCAATTAAAACCCTTATCATTTTGAATTTGGGGAGTTTGAAATTTAACCCAAATCTTAAATAACATGTCTATTTCATACATTGTTCGATTATGAATAAGGTTTTTATTGCGTATGAAGTTTCTGATTTTCAAGTTGAATTTAGGTTGCAGCAATTCAAGTCTCATGATGTGCTTTAAATTTAATTTAAATTTTTGCTCAAATTTTTCTATTACGTAAATTGGGGTGAGCTAGAACGGAATAATAAAAAAAGGGAAAGAAGAGAAGAGAGAAGGGGAATGAGAAATGGAAGGGGAAGAGGAAGGGGAATGGGAGAAAAGTGTATGTAATAAAGTCAGAGGTCATTTTAGTAACTTTATAGAGTAATTTACCACTTTATGGATCAAAAATCGCATTTGAAATGCGTGAGAGATACTCTCCGTTAAGCCATAACAAAGGGGGATTTTTCTGCAACTTTTACAAATTAAAAGTAAGTTTTTTTAAGTTTTAGAACCAAAGGGATTTTCAAAAAATTCAACAAACCACATGGGCGTTTTATACTATTTTGCCTAAAGTTATTAATTATATAATGTAGTAGCGGCGACCTGACCCGTGTTATAATACGAATATTGGATCATATTTTTTTTTTCTATATCTAAATTTATAAAAAAAATTTAATTTCATAAAAATATATTTTTATTTTCAGTAGAAAATTATTTTATACTCTCTCCGTCCCCAATCTATCTATCCATTTGCTTTTTGCACGGAGTTTTATAAATATTAGTATTATATTGGGATAAAGTAGAAATAAAGGTAAAAAGACTAAATTAACCCTATTAGTATTGTATGATATAAATGTAACGGCATTTGTGTAATATATTGTAAATTAGAAGGGTACTTGTAATGTTAGGTAGATAGTACAATTACTAAAAAAAGGAAACGGATACTTTGTTATGAGACGGACCAAAATGAAAAAATGGATAGATTGTTAAGGGACAGAGGGAGTAATTTTTATTATAAAAAATAAAAAAATAACAATTATTATTTATTTTTATTAGAATTTGTATCCAAATATTTGAATATAAATTGATTTGACGGTTGTATATTACTTTTAATTTTATTTTTGTATTTTACGTTGTATATATTTTAATAAATATTTTTTAAAAATAATTGATGTAGTTACTTAGATTGATAAATATGTATATGAAAAATAATATTTTAGTTGTTGAATTTTAAATTATTTTGTTATAAAAGAAATATTAATTGTGATTCGTATCATTTCTAATATATTTAATTTTAATTGTGTTTAAATTTTATTTTTTAACAATTTATATTTATAAAAAAAGTATAGTCATTTTAAATAAATAAATGTTTCATATTAAATTTTATGTTATTTTTATTTTATTTTTCTGTAATATATATATTTAAAACGGTAAATATGTTAAAAATGCGATAATCAAATAATAATAATAATATCTAAATTTTTTTATATTAACTATATTATTTCATCTATCTTCTAAAATTATATTTGTATTAAAAAAAATTATATGATTGTTAAGTAATGTTATATGTAAAAAAAAGAAAAAGAAAAAAAGAAAAACATTATATAAGCACATACACATAATATATATCTAATCAAAAAAATTAACGATTCAATGTGATATATCATTATTTATATTGAGTCTATTCACTTAATATTTTTAGATGAAGTTATTTTTTATATGGTATAAAAATTATGTTGGTAATATAAAAAATTATATTTTGTATTGAATGGTTATTTATTTATTTTTTTTTTATGAATGGATGATATATATTATATTAATGTGTATACATTTTTTTTAAAATAATATTTATGAAGAATTGTTCCATTGAAAAATGCTATTTTCATATTTTTTTAAAAAAACCTTCAAATTAAAAATACTAAACAAACATATTGCATAGTAAAATTTTCTTTTTAGTAAGTGTGAATCATATTATATATTAAAAATAAATTTAAATTTATAATTATCTATATTGATATTACTATAGAAAATTAAAATAAATGCACAAAATAATATTATTGAAGAAATATTTTTTCTGAAAAATATTATATTACATAGTATTTATTTTTATTGATCATATTTTTTTTTATTTAAAATATGACAAATAATACTTATTACTATATCATATTAATTAATTATCTAATTTAAAATTATATTCCACTCAAAATATTTTTATGTTTTCCTTTTAGTTTGTGTACTCCAATTTTCTATTTTTTTATAGTAAATTTATATTCCACATAAATATAGATTATTTTTATTTTATTATCATATAAATATTTTTACATAAAAAATTTAAAAAATAAAATTATTTTCACACACTTCTTACTACATATCAATAAAATATTAATACACACAAATTTTCGTACCTAATATAAATGAGAAGATTTTGCTAAAAACACTACTTTTAAAATATAAATACCAAATCACAATAAATAAATGATAGTAATAATGATAAAATATAATATTAATATAATAATATATTACATGGTAGGACCCACCAAATAATATTTTTAAAAAAATAAAAAATGAAACAAAAAGTCACTTGTTACAGACACATACATCATATAAATATAGTTTATACTATTGGTAGTGAATGCCTTTTTTATACATATGTATGCTAGCTATTTACGCGTAATATAGCGTTTGCAATTTGCACAAATAATTAAGTTGCGAACATAATTTTTTGATTATCCAATAAAGAAAATTTGTCTCGATAATGATATTGAATATTCATCACAAGCATTTGACGAGTATTGCATGACTTGAGGAATAACTGTTGAACATCATGTTCCTTATGTTTACACCCAAAATTGTTTGGCAGAATCCTTTATCAAAAGACTGCAAAGACTGAGTAGACAGGGGTTAAGTTAGAGAATAAGTTAATTTCCAGACCAATATT